CTTGCTTCCTTGCTTCCTTGCTTCCTTGCTTCCTTGCTTCCTTGCTTCCTTGCTTACGTTGTTCGAGAAGCGTGAGAGGGGGTCCCGTCAGGTAGAGAAGGGACCGCCAACCGCTTGTCTCGATTTTAGCTACGCCTAAATTACATTTAGCCACATCAGTAAACCTCACTATTCAAGTTCAAAAACAATACAAAAATTTTGAAATTTTTATATGAAAAAACATGTTTCAGCAACGTCTTCTGAGAGTCTCGGTTAATTAATTTATTATCATTGTTGGCTAATCAAAATAAACTTTATGATACTACACATATTATCCGGGGCACTTACAATCAGCACCAGGGAGCCTTTACTGCTCCTTGGCTCAGGTAAAAAGTCGAACTTCACATGAGCCGAACCTAATTGAAATAATGGATAACAAAGCGGCCTTCTTTGATGTCATTAGGTTCGGCTCATGTGAAGTTTGACGTTTGACACGAGCTTTAGTATAGTTCTCATACTACGAGTAATTAATTAAAGATTAAAGATCTCATGCAGGACTGAGCCCTTTATCCGACCGACAAAAGTCTGGAATGACGTACCAACGGAAAGTAGAATTCAATTAGCATCACGGGAATAATAAGGCCGGCCTTCAAAGGATCTCACGACATTGCCGTCTTTAAAACACCGAGAATAGTCTAGTTAGTCTGGTTCACTTTAACAAAGATGTAAGGCATTCGCACGCACACCCCACGTCGACTGTTTTCGGGACGAGGTTTTTGGTTTGGTCAAAAACGTACACCACCATCGTTTTTCTCTTGAGAACGCATTCACCCAGAGGGAGTTTTAGACTCGAAGAATAACACGTTCCCTCGCAGAGGATGGTTTCGACTTTGTAGGCAAGACTTTCATCGGCATGAGCCAACACAAATATAGAATCAACGGTTTCTTGGCAAAGATCGTGTAGGACCCTCTTTTGAGGCTTTGAGTTCCGTTCGTTTCTATAATATTTATGGTAACTTGACGGGCGTCTTTTTCTCATCTCGATCATGTGACCTTTTGCTTTCTCTAGTGAATGCATGAATTCTTTCTTTACCGTGACTAATTTCAATCCAGGTATCCTCAAAATACCTAGACTATTTACGGCCTTGGAAAACATTCCTTTGTTCCACCTAAACTTTTTCTTCCTTTTTTTTCTTTCGAAGGAAGGGTCAATAGATTCTACTATGCTTGGCAAACTTAATGGCAAGGCTTCATTATCCTGGACGGGTACTTGTGGTTGAAGAAAGCTTGCACTTTGCTGCTTTTCGCGAGGGTCTGGATATGGAAGACCTGCAACAATCAGATGAGCTGCAGCGGCCGTTGCCAGAATCACTGCAACAGTGGTAAGCTGTGTGAAAAATATAAAATCATGTGTCAATCATGGGGTATTCCTAAGTCAGATTAGTTTCAAAAGAGTTAATTTTAATTTTAATTTTATGCAGATGAAGAGGCACCTATGTGGATATGCTGTAATAAAGCCGTTATTATTATTATTATTATTATTATTATTATTATTATTGTTGTTGTTGTTGTTGTTGTTATTATTATTATTATTGTTATTATTATTATTATTATTATTATTGTTATTATTATTATTAAAAATAATAATTTTCAATAATAATAATAACTTTATTGAACAATTATTATTATTATTATTATTATTATTATTATTATTATTATTATTATTATTGTTGTTGTTGTTGTTGTTGTTATTATTATTATTATTATTATTATTACTATTATTATTATTATTAAGAAGATTTACACGACAGTCAATTCTCGCCTTGCACACATCCGGATGATAATAATAAATCTATAATAAATAATAATGGGATTAACAGTGGATTACACAGAGTGGCTCTTCTTCCACTGGATTCCAATTGGAAATTAGAAGTACATTTTTTATTCTTTTTTTTTTTTATGATTAAGTAAATAGGCTCCACCTGCCAATACTTCTGCTAAACCTTGACGTCGTTTATATACAGTCCTTTGACTAAATGTTGTCGTTGATCGGATCATCCCTACGCGCCTAGACCGAAAAGGATAACGGGTAAATTACCCAGAACTTGCGTCACCCAAACTGCTCGCCAGTTTAAATCCTCGCCGTATGCTCGAGGCATGGTTTTAGCAAATTAAATGGGATCGAAAAAAGCGAGCTCAAGACGTGTTAGATAACATATGCCGCAATTAGTAACTGTGAATTAATTATCCCCATGATCCTTTTCGGTCTAGTTGCGTAGGGATGAAGCCGATCAAACGACAACGTTTAGTCAAAGGACTATATCTAAGCAGGTTAGCACTCGACATTCTAAATTTTACGTTTCAGCGCCTGAGGTTGGTTTATTAAATCATGAGTGTATTTGAAAATATTGTCATGTGATGACTACCTTATGCATGCAAACAGAAATTTAGGTTACTTCTTACGCAAGAAAATACGGTTTAGGAATATGTGTGCACACTATATAAAAGTGATGTATATACTTATTTGATTTAGTTGCTTATATTATAGGCAGCTAGTTTCCGAATTAAAATAAATTACATTTTTGAAAAAATTTAAGATGAAATGTGTAGCAAATTATGAATATATGAGAATTGTTTTTGTCCAATGATCATGATTTTGAAGTTCGGAAATTAAAATACGTAGTACAAAAACGTTACCTCGATAATTTATTCGGCATTTAATTTAGGTCAGTCAACCTTAACTCTCACTTAAAATATTACACAAAAACATGAATAAAAATATACACGTCTTGTAAGGATTGTAATATAACCATGCAGCATTCAAATCATAATATATTAAGTTTTTTTTATAATAATTTGTGCAATAAATACTATAAATACTAAGCTCATTTTTTAAGATCCTTCTAGACTGACAGCTATTATTGGAGTGAATCTTTTTATTTCATGATATACATTATATCTTTAAAATTTGTTTACAAGCCATATTTGCAAACCATGCATGACGGTGGTTTTAAGTACTTTTAAAAATTAAAAAACTCTTGAAAAGATAAAAGCAAATTTTAAATGCATCACATATTTTTATTGCATTATGTTTTTAAAGTTTGTTTACAAGCCATATTTGCAAACCATGCATGACGGTTTTAAGTATTTTTTTTTTTTTTTTTTAAACCTTGAAAAGATTGAACAAATTTAAAAAGCATCAAAGATTTTTATAAAATAAAATATGATATGCGATTACAAGTTTGTTTACAAGCCATATTTGCAAACTATGCATGACGGTTTTAAGTATTTTCAAAAAACCAAACCTTGGAAAAGATTAAAGCAAATTTAAAATGCACCACATATTTTTTTATATCTAAAGTAAAATAGGCGGACATGCCTTACATGTTTTAATAACAGATACCATTTAGCCTTATATTCAATTTCAAATAAAGTCAAGATTAAATGTTTTGTAAGTTGGATCACTGAGCTAACGATAACAAAGGTCAATCATATTTATTGGGTTTTTAAATTTTTTTTAAATTGTTGACATTGAGATAATTAAAATATTTGAAATTAAAAATTAAAGAATTCGTATATAGACTCTCATGAGCGAGAAATGGCATTATTCCTTACCTTCATCTTACAAGACCAAATCAGTGACAAAGAGCGGAATGACAAAATCAATTTACGGCCTCGGTATAATATAATTTCAAATTCAACTGTGTGTGATAAGTCAACGCCTAGTACTTGAGACAAAGGCACGCCTAGTGAATTTCAAGTTGAAATTGAAATAAAGACAACTTGATTGTATGTTTACTGACTCTATGAAAGAGGAGTGGGCTTGCTTGGTTTTGATTGATAATCTATACAGGATAGATCTAGCATATTTATTAAGATCAAACTAGCCCGTGGATGTTCTATTGTGTTAGGTTAACGGGGCAAAACGTCGGAACAATAAAGACATGCTGAAATCTAGTACTTTTATATTTAAGCAAGGATATCGATAAAGTGCATAGAGTACAAACATAGAGTAAATATGTGCAACAAATATCACTAAATAGTGTTATCCTATGCCAATTCTATTGCTTTCTTTTGTTTCATTAGTGCTATTTGCTGCTAAATAGTGATAACTATTGCACATATTTAGTATTTGTACTCTATCTGCACTCAATGGAAGTTTTCCAAACAGGAAAAATGTTAGGAGCGGAAGCTTACTTTAAAGAATCCGCTTTTTTTGTCGATAAAGTATTATTTTTAAAACAATTCAATGTAATATATACATTTATTATTTAATTATGCAAAGAACGTGCGTGATGTGGGAAAAGATCATGCCTGATATGAGACCGATCGGGTACGACATAGTTTAGAGGGAGTTTGAGCATTTCTTTGCAGAATACAATGATAAACAACTTATCAGTCGGCTAAGCATCTGATACGGCTGGGTATTTTTAGTCGTCACTTGTATTTTGGCGAGCCTTTAGCCGACTGATATAGACTTGTTTACAACTTTCACTGGGTATCAATCAGGAAGGAAAATTACAGAACCAACATGCTACCCAAAACGGAAAGTGCGAACGGGACTCTAGGAAGTTAGTCAAAAGGAAATGCATAGGATGGGATATAAATCAATAGAAGTTGTCTTGGAAAGTTAATACAGTTATAGTACTAAAAATTGGTAGCAAGTCAACCGAGAACGGCAAAAAAATAATCAGTGGAGTTCAAACAGACAAAAGTCCCTGAGGTTCAGTGTTATTATCGAGTACGATGACAAGACGGCTATCATCTGAAGAAGATGCAGCAATTACCATATATGCTTTGTAGCTTTTCACGTGATTGACTTTCAAAGGGGTTTTGACTGGTTATATGGTTGCACTCCAAAAATACTTAATATGACAGCTGGCTTTTGATCCTTGAAGGGAAGAGGTACTCTTAAATGCAATTCAACAAACTTTGTACCATATCATCTTCTTATTACAGATTTAGTATCCCATCAGAGTCAACACTGCCACAAATCAAAACCTGTAACCAGTAGCTAGTATACACCTAATTCAAAAAACGTTGTCATCGCCAAAGGCGATAGGCAATAGGGCAATAGACGATAGGCGAAAAACGATGGGGTATATGTAATTCCAAGATCCAAGAATAGCTGGAATGATTCATTTGTTTTTCTTCTTCTTATTTTCGTCAAGAGTACAACTCCTACAACTCGCCTACAGCAGACGCGAGCGTGTTGTATACGATAGCTTTAGGCGAATATCGTACCGTCTGAACCGGCCTTAAGAGTTCTTCCGCCCTTCAAGTATGTACTTGTTTTAATAGCGGTGGGTTAGCTTTGTACTTTTTTGGTGACTTTATTGAACTGAGTATACACAACTTTCCTGCATAGAGAACCGTAAAAAAAACTGATACGACGTACAGCGCAAAAAGATAGATACTAGGAAAGGTGGGATAAACAAACAAACCAGCATGAGAAGGAGTTGGTCCGCTAATCGTAAGAAAAGAGCAGGAAATTTTGACTTTCGACAAATTATGTACATGCATCTACAGAAAGAACCAAAAAAAAACAAAAACAAAAAAACAAAACAAAAAAAAAAAAAAAAATCAGACAATTTAATTTC